CGCAGGGTCGGTAGCCAAGGTGACGTATCACGCACGATGATGCCCCCCAGCCGATCAATGTCAAGGCGCTGTCGCCTTTCACGAAGTCACTGATACCAGTTGAAGAAGCCGTTGTTGACTAGGTTTGCTTGGAGATGTTGACATTTTGTGCCGCAACATACGGGGCTGCTCAAGTTCTGAGTCTGCAGCCTGGTAGGACCGACGACTTGGAAAGCAAGCAGCTCAGATTTGCTTGAAGCTGGTGTGAGTCGCCACAGAAAGAGGGCATCGCGTGGGATCTGTAGTGCAGTGCGATACTAGCGACACGTTGCCTGTCACGCAACCTGCTCGTTGTTTGTTGAAACTTCGCCTGAACCAGTGATGAAGGGGAACGCTTCACCAAGCACCTGCCCACAATCCAATCACGAAGACGATGAAAACTTGTATAAACACCCTTTTCGCTTCAAATCCGACTGATCCATGTGACCTTGCCACGCCCTCAAGGTCTAGCGGAGCCCTGCATTGTGGAGTGAAGCTCATGTCGAGCTGCGCTACCCAGAATGCCCAGCAATGGGGAGACGATGCTGTGCGCGCTGCGGTCCAGAGTGGGGCAAACAAGCGGCTATTGAAAATGGTAGAAGCCCCTGCGGGATGACCCACTTCAGGGTTTGCTCCTTAGCTCCTTACGGCAAGCGACGTCTCCATTTGGTCGTTGCTGGCCCCTTGTTGCACTGCCCAGGTCCACTGAACCCACACCATGCTTGGGCCTTCTCCGAAAATGTACACAAGACACCCCACCTACGGATCTCACGACATCTCACGACGTCTCACGACTGGCACCATGGCGCCAAATGTCTCACCGCAGTTCTTGTAGCTCTCCCGTGGTCCCTAGCTGCGGGATGCTGCGGGTGGATGGCCCGGGGTGCCTTTGATCAGGAGCGTATGGCGCAGAGCCGATGGTTCAGGGTGAAAACAAACGGCATAATATCAGGCACATTGTATGTACGTTCTTGCGTGCGCAAGAGGAATGGACATCATTGGGTTTGCCTTTGCGGATTTTGCTTGGGGAAAACTATGTAACACACTCGCAAAATACGGCAACGATGTGTTGTGGACAACGATAGCGCAGGCACCAATTGGGAGCGTCCAGTAGCCCAACCACGACATCTAAACCGTACATGCCTATGCAAGGAAGACTTTGCTAAGTCGTGAAGCAATTCCCTTTTTGCTGGTGGTTGCCTTTGCTCTGCTGCTTTTGCGGGGATCACGCCATGCGCAGCCCCGTCCCGCCCCCTACCCTGAAACAGGAGTCTTGCACCCTTATAGGTCTCGGCATCCTGGGCAATTCAGACGCGATGACTTTGGTTCTTTAGTTAGTTTGCTGCGGAAGGTGTGCTGCGGAGTATGACTCTTTCGTGTTGGTGCTCGTTTCTGAGTGAAGGTGGAGGAAGAAACATGGAAGAACTGGCCACTCCCATGACGGTCTCCGCATGTCACGTTCTGCTTTCACTGATGGGCCCTTTTTCCCCTTGCCCCATGGTCTTGCGAACTACGCAGGCTGCGACCGTAAAGTTGTAGATCGGAGTTCTCTTTCACGGGATCTGTGCTGGTGGAGCCATGCGATCGGTGGCGTTGGGAGCGACTGCGAACAGACTTAGATAACAGAGGTGCTCAGCACCGTTTCAGGACGACGAATCGATGGCTCCTGCTGGACCTTGTGCTGAAAGAGGCACAGGTGAGCTATAGCCGCTAAGATGAGGGCGTGGAGAGCCATGACCTGCTCGACACGGGTGGGTTTCAGAGTTTGGCGTCTTTGTGAAAAGCACAGATGCAGCTTAGAAGCGATTGCTGATAGGTCGGCAAGTTGTAACGAGCATGATAAATAGGTGTCAGATAACCATGCGATGAACCAGTAGCCCCTACAGTCGAAGAATGTCGAAGAATACAAGTGGCAATAGCAGCAACCGCATGAGTGGGTTGCTGATGGTTGTTGTGGTCCCCCGTGCCTCAGCCAAGTCGTTTGAAGGCCCCACAGCTCGTCTCCTTCGATATCCAAGCTTCACTTGGTCAGGTAGTCCGACAAAAGCTGGAAGCGCATGAGACTAATAGATGCATCTGCATTCTTAGTTTCGAGGTGTTAGGTTCGTTGCTAATGTTTTCTGGGCCGTTTTGTTTCTCAGTACTTGCCGATGCCAAGAGCAGCTGAGTCGGACTTGACCTTTATCTACTATTTGCCTAAGAACCCCAAAAGAATAAGAAACATCAATCCCTATACTACCCTTATAAGGATGGGGGTTCTTAAGCAATTACTAGCTATGTCTGCGGGCATGAGAGGTGGTTCCTTGGGAGAAGGCGGAGGGATTTTGTCGCAGCTGCGCGGAGCCGGGCCGATGCGTGTGAATTGGGGTAACTGTGCTCCGCAGTGCACGACGAGCTAGGTACCAAATTTCCGAGTGCCTCACAGTGTCCCCGTCCCAGAGGTACTGAAGCACATCATTTAGGGTGGTTGTTCTGAATTCGGAGTTTCAATCTCATCGCTTCCCTCGTAGCTGTTCGAAGCAGGAGGTTTAGCTCAGGCACGCGCCTCTTGTGGCAAGCCTCCCGACCTTGCCTGCGAGCGACGAACTGTTTGATTTGGCCATGCTCAGAATTACCAATCACCCTACCGTGAAGCCAAAATTGCTTCTTATTTGCAATCGACTGTCGAACGGGAGGGCTAGGAGAAAAGTGCCCATCAGGGATGCTCTTTGGACATGGGCTGATGTTGTTCCTGGGCACGGGTGGCGCACCCTTCGGCTCGTTCATCCTCGGCAAGACAAGCCTCTGTGACCTTGAAAGGTTTGAAAGAGTGCCATGCTGGCCGATCCATTGATGTGCGCCGCTGCTTATTGGATACTGCAGGTGGAAGCCGCAATGCCTCCAGACTGTTGCATGTGTCCTGGGCAATAGGCATGAGACTTATGGGGTGCTTGAGTTGTTTTGTGCGTCAGCCAAGCCCGATCATGATCACTTGAATTATGCGCCGGCAAGTCATCGTCCTTGCCATGGGCTAGCTCTCATACATCTCACACCGGCAATGATTTCCGAGAGCCTGTGGAACAGCCCTTCGGCTGCAACAGGAACCCCTTGAGCTTCTCAGGATTGATGCTTCGGGCGTTGCCCGGCTGTCGTCGCGTTGCCGAATCAAGCTGCGCAACTTCCCTCATCCCACTTGTGATGACCACAACTGTGACTCTTTTGCCCTTAGCTCTGCAACCGCGCATGGTTCCAGCCAAGCTGCGTAGACGCAGGGCTCGTTTGAGGGTGCACTTTCTTATGCTGTGTCCCTGCTGCCACCATTAAGCCTCTACCGTGCCTAGAGCACCGGGGCATGCTCTACATCGCACACAGGCGCAGGAAGAATGATTTGCAACAACCTTGTGTGTGTGTGTGTGTGTTTTTTGCCCAGGTTCGGCCATTCACACCAGCTTTCCTGATTATGATTGCCGTTGGGTTGGCCCCATTGCGCAGCACTGAGTTCACGCAGGTTTGCAAAGCCTGGAGCGCAGCCACCTGCAAAGCCTTCTGAATGCCTCTGAAGTCTGAACCTCTGAGAGCCGAGGCTGGAAGCCAGCACGGGGAGACTTGGTCCCAGCTGCGGGAGGAGCTGATTGAAGGCTGCTGTGCCACAATCAAGTTCGGGGAGTCGGCTTCTAATTACAAGCAAGGCCTGCTTCCTACAGCGATTGCAAGCAGATCTAGGGACAAGGCAACGTGCACAAAAGACAGCAGCAGCTGTAAGTAGTCTCCTCCTTGTGAAATCGGGCCGCCCAATGACAAAGCAAGCCCAAAGGGCGGACAGGCAGAAGATGACGGAGGAGTTTCTTTCTTCGCCACCTTGCCCCACATATGTGCCTCACAGGGTTTCCCGTTTAATTAGGGTTTAGGCTTCGTTGAGCAGCCGACCCAGAACCCAGGAAGATCAAGTGTGAACAGCCAAAGTATTCGTAAAATCCAGGTATGTGCTTCTCGGCATGTCTGAAGAGTGTTGGAACCACGGGCGAGTCAGACGATAATACCCTGGTCAAGAAAATTGCGACTGCCGTCCTAAACCCTACCTGTCACCGCAAAACATCCAAAAGCTCCACGACATGTGTGTTTCTATTTGAAAACAAGCCAAAAATTAGTAGACAAATGGAGCCCGAGATGAAAAATGAATACCTACATGATAGCGCATGCACCATGTCGGCACCTTGTAGATGCCCTGGCCTTCTCTTCAGGCTGCTTTCTTAAAGAGGGGCGTGCAAATCTGCAGTCATGCTGCAGTCAGGCCCTGAAGCTTAGAAGTATCCTGATGGCAGTGTGGGCTGATGTCCGATGTGCGGGGTCCAGTTTTCGGACCTTTGAACAGTAGCCTCGCCCACTTGTGCTCTAAGCCCGAAAACGAGCCGCCTGTCAGGTGGCGTGAGCTTCCAGCCGCAAACGCTGGCACTGGCCCACTACGCGCTGGAAAAAAATGACCCTTGCCTGGGTGCTTCTTTTTGTGAAGTAAGCAAAGCAACATTCGCAACAATGGTTACAGCAGCAGACTCAGCAACGTGATAGCAACATGCTTATTCTTCCCGCGCCCAGGATGCCAGTGTTTGTCCTTTGGGAAGCCTCACATCTTGCTGGGCGCTGCATGCGGCTGGCGTGCGCACATGCAGCCGAACAGCAGAGGCCCTTGATCTCCTGAGATAAGCTTTGCAATGCCCTGGCGATTCCTGGGCGAAGGCTCCGGAAGTGTGAGTGATTCGAACAGCTCAGAAAAGCCAGCCGATGTGATTGACAGGCGCTGCCTCTGCTTGAAGCCCTTGCCAGCAGATGGCCACTGTTGCGGTTCCTCGCCCATGTGCGCCGCCCCCTGTCGCGCATTTATCTGAGTGGAAGCCGCAACTTCCTTAAGCATCACTACGCATTCAAGTGCTGCAACAAAAACAACGTAATCGTCAAGCTTCAATTGAGCATGCTTCTGAAACCCTCACAAGAACGGATACTTTTTCATGAGAGAGTCTGCGCAGGTCATAGTTGGATCCGACCCGTCGGCGGGATCTTCTCATGCGAATCGCTGTTCCACCCTTCCATTGACTGGGTCACCAAGCAGCAAGAAGAGGTACGACTGCTCGAACATGTTGAAAGGTTCCCTGAATGCGCGTGTACAAGGAGATGCAGGGGTGGACGTGCAGAGGGATGGCATTTGGAATATGGGGGTTTCCGAAATTAGGGGTACCTCATGGGGGCTGATTCAAAATTGGGGGTTCCGTAAACTCCCATGTGATGGCAGTTGCTGTTGCTTCTTACTTCTTAGGGACCGAGGACAGCTGGCATACCATGCTTGAAGCCGTGACTCGGCCGCAGTGAGGGAGGACACTGAGCACAGCCAGAGCCTGACGTGCGCGCCCAGCTCTGTCAGGTTGAAAGCGAAGAGTTCGAGGAGGACAAAATGGAAACCCTGGGCGGGCCTGCTGTGGACGAAGCTGGCACGGAGGAACCCGAGCCCGTCAGAGAGCTTTCGAAGTTACGTTCATGTCTGCATGGGCTCGGTCCCCAGGTGGCAGATTCTGATGCATTGCCCTCCGCCAGGCAGGCGGCATCGTTTGGAAGTACTCTTCCGGGGCAGAGTACGAAGGCACTCCAATCAGCGTTTTCACAAAGCACCTCCGCTGTCTCGAGCATTGTTTTGGAGGTGCATGTGGCTTGAACTAGCGCAGGGATGTGACATAAATTAAGTTCGGTCGCAGGCTGGGGATATCAAACCCGTGCCCTGTAGTCTGAACATGTCATGGAAGTAGCAAATACGGTGCTAGCTTAGCCGCAGTCGTGCTGAGGGCCAGTAGCGTCGTCCTGCCCGAAGATCACAGCTCCGCCAAGCAAGCTGAAGAGTTCCAACGTCAAGGGGCAATGTTTGCGTTCGCTGCACACATGGATCCAGATAGCTTTCTTTGAGCCCTTCCCCGAAAACCCTGAAAACAGTAAAACCGTTGAATCCCACTAACATGTCCCAAAGTGTCTCAAAATGTCCCCCAAATGTCCCTGAGACCTAAACCCTAAACCCTGAACCCTGAACCCAAAAAGCTCCTGAGGCTTTGTCTGCATGGGGTGCAGGCGGCATTTCTCTTCCGAGCCTCTGGCTTGGTCATGGGCATTTCAGCTGCCTTCAGACTTCCTTCAGGTGCATGTGTTTGGTATTGTTTAATATACAGTTTGATTTGTATAAGTCATTAATATTACTGTATTGACATGGGCCCCTTTCTGTACAATAACTAGCATATATACATGTATATACATACAAATACGTACATACATATGTGATTGGTGACTTCAGCTAGAAGTCAGTCGTGACTGGAACTGTCAATGATCAGAAAAGCACTCGGTGCAGTCACAGCTCAGCCCCCGGTTGTCGTGGAGAGGAGTCTGGGATGGTTGCCACTGACGATGGGCGGCATGTGTGTAAACAAGGGAGCCTCCACCCACCGTGCCGCAGAGAAGTTCTGCAACAACTTCCATCGATACTGGGTCCCTAAACCCTAAACCCTAAACCCTAAACCCTAAACCCTAAACCCTAAACCCTAAACCCTAAACCCTAAACCTGGACCCCTAGGCGACTTGGACGTGTTCAAGATGGTGGAGGCCGCTCTTGGCATTGTCGGTGGCGACAACAGGTGCGCGGCCAGCAGCCTTTCTTTCAATTTTCGTCATCAGTGCTCGTGCTCCCATCCTCAGCCCCTAGCAAGTTTCTTCTGGAAAGTCTCTTTCGTGCGAAGAGAAAATTAGCCGTGAATAAGCCCTGCATTGGCAGTCATGAAAGCAGCCCCCCAGATGCAAAATGCAGGATTGAGGACCTGCTGAATACTCGGTGGCCTCTGCTGCCCGGCACAGACCAGACGGGGGGTTTAAAAGGGGAGCTCAAAATCGTGGGCTTCAGGGTGCAGAGATTTTCAAGTCCAAGAAGTGAGACTTGAGAGCGTCATGAGCGTGAGAAGGTTGGGACAGTTGCGGGGGGCTTGGGAGCAAGAGCTGAGTCCCACTATTGGTTTTTGTGCACGTAGATGTTGATGACAAAAGCGCATGTCTCCACGTATTCTGCCCCGCCCTTCATATCTACTGCGCTGCAATCACATGCACGCTCCTGAAATTCCTAAGTAAACCCTAAGCCCTAGACCCTAAACCCTGAACCCCCCCTAAATCCCAAGTGGGACCAGGCTCAGCTTGCTGCACCGGCGCCTGAGCAGAAGGAGTTGAGGGGGCCTTCCTTGGCCAGGGCGTAGGTTCACAGATCGAGGGCTTCAGGATTTCTGCTGCTCAGCCCCGTGCTGACAGCTTTAGGGATGCTAAGGGCTTCGGGGTCTCTTCACTGATTCAGGCTGGCCCCTGGTCCTGAATTATTAGTCGTAGACTTTCATGCTTAAATGGTTAAGCGGCTTAATTAAAAGTAAGCCCCTACAGACCCTCAAAGAGCGAGCAACGCAAAGACAAGAAGCGAGGCTCTCATGCATGAAGAGGAGGTGGGATGACTTGGCCCTGGCACCCAGCGACTTCGGGCCGGATTTGGGGAGAGAAAAGGGTCTAGGGCTCAGGGTTTTTAGGGACCCCAAACCCTAAACCCTAAACCCTAAACCCTAAACCCTTTGGGGCTTAGGGTTTAAACCCTAAACCTTTGGGGTTTAGGGTTGATGGCTTAGGGCTTGGGGTTTAGGGCTTAGGGTTGAGTGGGCACTGCATTACATGAGTCTGGATCTTGGTGTCATTGTTGGGATGTTCCCCCTTAGTACGAATAGTCCACAATAGGTAAACCCCAATAGCAGACCTTGACTCAAGGATCTGCTCTCCGTTTTCTCCCCGATGGCGGAGCTCACAGCGCGGCTTCTCTTCATGGGCTTCCCCGGTCCAGTGTCTTGGCGTTTCTTTGTGGTCTTCCTGAGCAAGTATAAGGTGCGTAGAAGGAGCAAGGAGCAGGATTTCGAGAAGGTTAGGAGTGAACACAAGAGTGACGGCAAAAAGAACCGGGTCATTTTGAGTGCTGCAGTTTGCACAGGCAGGAGAAGAGGCAAGAACAGACTTCTTCCTAGTGGACTTTGTGTTCTTGTCATCTGAGGGTGGTTACATGGTCCCTTGGTATGGGCTCTTAAACGAGACCCTTTTTCTACCCCATACATACCCTAGACAACCCAAGGGCCCATACATCAGAACCCTTCAATGAAAGGAGGTAAGGGACCACATTAAGAAACCATGTACTGTAACTACCCTAAGATGTCATCTTGAGTTGCATCACGCCAAGGTCTTGGTGACCTTTGTCTCTGCTGCGCGGGCAAAGTACCTGCCAGGGTTCATAAGACACGCCGAACGCAACTCGCCCGCATGGCCTCCTTCAACTACATATGCTGAGCAGCGAAGCCCTACAAAGGACAGGGGACCAGAAGAGGGACTGAGCACAAGAGCTTGAGAGAGCTTGAGTTCGATATCTAGACTTCTGCCCTGCGGACGCAGGTCTTGGCTTTGTGGGGCGGACACTGGTCCTACCACAAAACTCTGAAATTCTGCAAGCCTGTTCCAAGCTGGTGGACTCATGCCTCCCGGTTCTGTGACCGGGCCGCACTCCCCGAGACTTGCAGTTGCAGGTCCCACTGGATTCAAGAGTGTGTTGTGCAATGTTGGGGCCTCTGCTGGGCATGTGCTCAGGTCAGTTTTTCCCGAGCTGGCGAAGTACACGCTGCTCGCATTTGCTGCCAAGCTGGGGGTCAGTGTCCTCTATGCTGACCTGGACACATGCATGCAGAATCGCAAGGTAGCATATTTGAATGCAGCCAAGTGTAACCGAGACACGTGGCGCAACGGGTAGCTTGGAATGGTTTTATTTGCTGGTCATGTGAAAGGAGCACCGCAGACATGTCTCTGACAGGACGTCTACTGGGCCCAAAACCCGTTTCCACTCCTGCCAAGACATGACGACCAGCATGCTGCCGATGCAGCTTGCCTGAAGTAGATGGCCACAGCAGAAACAGTACCATACTGTAGGGTTTCTCCATTGTCTTGGCAGTGCCTGTTGACATGAATCGCAGAGACATTTGCTACGCACAGAAGTGCGCTTGCGTGCTCGAGCCGTAGTCTTCAACCCCGTCCGCATGTGGAGTTCCGATGCAGGCAATCATGAAGTCTCCACATGCGCTGGCATAGCGTTGGACAGGTTTACGTGGCCCTCGAGTTCTACTCGAACCAAACTCGTTCAAGTGTGATGCTGGTGCAGTCGAAACTCGGTCACGCCTCCCATTAGCCTTGCATCCTTGTTGCCCAGCGCGCGCTTGGGGTGCCGTAACTTTGCATCGTCCTTTAGAGAGCACCCCGTGCTTCACATCCAGGATGGAGTAGCCACAGCCAGCAGGGCCAGCATGTGCATGTTTTTGCTTGCCACTGTTTCGGGTGCAGCGAGCAGTGGCTTCCCTGAACGATTCCAAGGAACAAACGGAGCCAACGCGCATTTGCGAATATGGCCATTTGGTTGCTGCGATTCCCCTTTGGATCTGCAGACAGCGGCCACTTGGCAGCTCACAAGAATATAATATGTGATTATTTGATGATATAAATATATCATTACATATTACATGAGTATATTACTATCTTAGTATTTTGCAACGTTTTCTGCTTTTTGGGTTAGAAAGGGGGTTTGTTTTCTGTTAGATTGTTACATTACGATATGGGCTCTGTTGTGTATGACCTTTTGCGCAGGGAAGAAATGTGTAGGACAGACGTGCCAGACCCACTTGGGGCATGGAGCTGAGGGTTTAGGGTTTAGGGTTTGGGGTTCAGGGTTTAGTTTAGGGTACCTATATAATACGATACTTTCGTTTTGTCCGTATTGCATGCCCCTTCACTGAACACGGTGTTTCAACTTATTATGCTGTTAGGAATTGTGTCGAGTGGCCGCCATGTGTCCAGCGCTTCGCAGTGACTTGACAGCTCTCGGTACTGCATGGGGGTCTGGCTTGCTTTCAGTCCAATGGCAAAAGGGTTTAGGGTTTAGGGGGGCTTGACTCCAGCAAACACTGGCAGGCATCCGACACCTGCTGGAGCCAGATCGTCCAGGCAGGCTATTTGACGATCTTGCCGATAACATCTTCAAGCTAAGAAATGTCAGGTTGCTAGGATACTAGTTATTGTTACTAGTTTCAATCTAGGTCAGCCCACAGGGCAACGACTCAAGTGCGACTCCCTTCGGTGAGAACATGTTTTCGAAAGACGGCGATGTTGCGCCGATGTTTCGGGTGACTGAGGCTACGTGCCATCTGTGTCATTCTTGAGACCCGATGATTCGCCGGAACACGGACAACTTGATCTTGGCATATTTGATTCGGACAGGGGTGATGCAAACAAGCGGTCCATCATGTGTGCACCAATGCCTTCCGAAGAGCCTAAGAACTCCAGAAGGCGGCTATATCGGGGTTTATGAAAATAAGGGATCCTGAATATAGAACCCCCAAATACCCTGATAATAATGGCCCCGATAAGGTACCCCCAATATCGTAAGCCCCCATATGTGTATACTATGGGAAATGGTCAAACAAGGGCGGTAAAGGAATCAAGATAGATGCCATTTTTGTGTTCGTGTCAGGTTTTGTCCTCTTCGTTATGAGGCGGGTCCCGAATGTACACGAAACCCCCAATGTGTTGACTAGCCACGTTGTATCACAGGATGTCGTGGGAGATACAGCCAAATAGCCTTACCTGGCGGGAATATGTCCGAACATCCCTTGAGAGCCCTTACTGGTCCATTATCCTGCGGGTTCTTGATAGTTCTTGCTGGTTTATTTTCGGCTTATGTGTCTCGGCTTTGGGGTGCGTCGTTTATGTATTGCTTTCGCAACGCGAGATCCATGCGGAGAACCATTAGAGCTGGTGAAAAGTTGAAACCGCAAAGCATCCTTGAAGATGGATCAGAATCCAGAAAGAAACCTCAAAATTCCGCGCGGCTGACGCGCTAGTATGCGTGTATGTATGTGTGTAGGTACGTACGCAGGTATGTATGTATGTATGCATGTATGTATGTGTGTGTGTGTGTGCATTTGTGTATGTGTGTGCGTATGCGTATGTGTGTATGTACATGTATGTATGTATCTGGGTACGTATGTATGTGTGTATGTGTGTATGTATGTATGTATGCATGCATGTATGTATGTATGTACATGTAGGTAGGTAGGTATGTATGTATGTGTGTGTGTGTGTGTATGTGTGTATGTGTGTGTGTGTGTGTATGTGTGTGTGTGTGTGTGTGTGTGTGTGTGTGTGTGTGTGTGTCTGTGTGTATGTGTGTGTGTATGTCTGTATGCATACGTACATACGTAGGTAGGTAGGCATGTATGTATGTAACGAAGTCCTCGGTTCAACGGTGAAACTGAACATGCGCAAAGACTTGTCCCCAGTCCGTGCTGAGCCTCCCGCCATTCCCCATGGTAAGGGCTTCGCTGCTGGCAGCCATGCTGGCGTTGTCCATGGGCCTCAACGCATTCCTGCTCGGGTACGGGAGGCTTTCGCTGCGGACTTCATGGCGTCCCTGTACTGCGCCTGCACCGGCTGTTGCTGCGCCAGCTTTGGATGGGCACTGCACGTGCCAGAAGTGCGAAGACCCGCCTCCTTGTCCAGCGCAGGATGGATTGTGGAGTGAACCCGGCAAGTTTCGGCAGCTGGCCTTCTATGACATGCACACGGTCCTGCCTCAGCTTCAGCTCTTTTTTAAAGAAGTTAACAAGACGAAGCCATACGAGTTCAAGCGCTATCAGAATCCTGGCAAGCACGGCGATGTGCACAGCCAGTGGGGCCAAGAGTTTCACGTGGCCTCCTACTTGAACTGTTCGAGGAACGGCTTCTTCGTGGACTTGGCGGCAAACATCGCCATCGACAATTCGAACACGTTGACACTGGAACGCGATTTCGGCTGGCGTGGCATCCTGATTGAGGCCAATCCAAAGTACTGGTGGGGCCTCCTCCACCGCAATGCGAGCCTCTTCTTGGGGCCTGTGGGTGCTGCAGACGAGCGGGTAACCTTCAATCTGCACGATGAGACATCTGGCATCGTGGGGTCGGACTTCGACAGAAAGCCAGGGTCTGGGGGCATCTCCTACACAACAACCTCTTTGGCGAGTGTCCTGAGGCATTTCGGTGCACCACGCCAGATCGATTTCTTCTCCCTGGATGTGGAGGGTGCGGAGAGCCTCGTCATGAAGGATTTCCCCTGGGACACATACAACTTCAGCGTGCTGAATGTGGAGAGGCCGAAGCCTGACCTGCAGCAGTGGCTCGCAGACCACGGGTACATACTGCTGCGATCCAACCCCGGCTGGGACGAAACCTACATCCACCGAAACTTCGAGGCCGTGAAAGCCAAGTGGACGGGTGAGGGTAACATCGACCTGCCCCTGGGGTGCATGGATCAGCTAGGGTACGAGCATCCCTGGAATACAAAGTGGCCTCCCCATGGAGGACGCCCTCGTCCGGGTGGGCTGACCCCAAGCAACTACCGGAATCCCCCTAGACCGAAGCGCTAGCCGCTAGCAAGAGAGACGCAGCTGTGGCATCACAGGACTGTCAGCTATTCTGCGGCCAGGAGCAGGTTGGCGCTTATTTGCACTTCGCGATATGTCATGCCTGCTGTTGGCCTCTTGAAATTCGAAAATAGAGGTGATCTAGTCGCTGCTGAAGCCCTTGGACACCAAGCCAAGCGCAGCATGAAGCCTTTCTCGGAGCAGGTGACTCCAAACCTGTGCCCTAGACTTGGGCATTTGCGGTGAAAGAAGGTGGACCCCACAACTGGGGGGCGGGAGGGGAAGGTTCGGCCGTACCTTGAATACTATTACGTAGTGAGATAGTTCGTATATGTCGTGAGGGCCTGCCCACTTCTATGATTCTGTGAGACAGTCCAAGTCTCCCGATGAGGAGAACCAGTTCGTCACGTTGGATGGCTGGTATGGGAACATGGACTCGGTGGTGGCCCTGGAGTTTGGAGCCATGTACACTGAGCCGTCGAAGCTCCAGTTGCCGCTTCCTCGCACAGGCTTCAAGCCAAGCATCCTTACGTCGCAACTCACTACATTGATCAGAGGACTAAAGGAGGGGCCCTTATAAGTGACCTTAGACTTTCTAAGGTATAAATAGGGGTTACCCCTTAAATTGAGCCTTTTCCCTATGTGGGCCGAAGAATGTGCCAACGGCCCATCGAGGCTGGATGCTGTGTACACGGCCTCTGGCAGCGAGTCTGCAAATGCCCGCCGGCTGATTCTCAGTGCGCAGAAGCAACTCGACTCAGCTGAGTTAGTGGCGAGTCCACTTGCAGTTAGCCCCGGTACGAGGCCGAACTTAAGTGTCATAGGATGTCAAAAGAACATGAACACCTCCAAAACAAAGTACATTGTGCACTTTGTTTCAAGTGCTCTTTGTGGTGTGTTGTTCTATCGAAGTTGTGTTGTGTCCTTTGCGGAATTTAAGTCTCCATGAATCATTGCACGAGTGAGGCAAATGTCCCCAAAGCGCCCGATGGAGATTATGCAAGATGACATGGATGGACCGCGGCAACAGAAGGTGCCATCAAATGATTCCCAGAAGCACTTATTCCCAGAGGACCCCACACCACATCACAATGACAATGAGAGAACCGAATCCCAATCTCAAATGGAGAAACGCGAGGTGCGAATCGTGCATCTCAACTTCGCCGATGGTTGCTGCGAGACTGAGCAGGCCAAGTCATCCAGCACGGCGCTTCAGTTTGGTGCAGCTCGACTGACAAGTTGCAAGCTGCATGCTTTTCGGGGGGAGTTAGGTGTCCGGTTCTCTTATCAAGATTCCTTACCCTTCATGGTGTTGCTGGCTGCCGATGGCTTCTGGGCATAATCAAAAACTAGCTGATCCCGCGTCAGGCAAACGAGTCACGGGCTTTGAGGGGAGACTTTCTGACGGCCGATTTCCGTGAGCGCAACGCACACTTGCTCAACTGGGTGCGTGGCGGCTGAGCAGCACGAAATGCACGCGGTGCAAGCAGCTGGAGTTAAGGGTAAGTGGCTCCTTCGTTCGCTCGCAAGACCTGGCATGTTGCAAATCTAAGCATTCTAAAGCTGAACGCTATGGTGCGAACTGGAAGGCCACGATCTCACTTCTGGAAAGACACCATCCGGCAAAGTAGGCTATTACGTCACTTGGCTGTTTCTGAAATATCCCAGATTTAGATTCAGCTTTTGCTTTAAGTCCTGGAGTGGCGAGCTGGTGTTGGGATATTCTTTCGGGGGGTTGTTCTGGGACCTGAAATTAGGAATCGACTGGGATGCGTGCCGTTCAACTTGTTCAACGCCCTCTAGATGCATCTCATCAGGTTTGGAAACCCTTCGTTGTACTGGAGACCTTGAAAGATCCAGCAATTCACTGGAACGACATTGCCCCTCGCTCTGCATTAAGGAGCTTTTGAGTCGAAAGGTGGCTCGACCTGTAGGTCTTGCCTGCTTGTCCTCCCATCGCTGGACCCTAAACTCTAAACCCTAAACCCTAAAATAATAAGCTCGCCCGAAAAGGAGTGAAGGGTTGTTTAAAAAAAAAACCTAAACCCTAAACCCTAAACCACACATCCTTAAACCCCCACGCTCGCTGAGGTGCTTTGGACTGATGCCGGGGTGCACTTCATCAGCGAGCCTCTCGCCTGCAGGTGGTCCCAGAGGTGTTTTCGGCCCTGGCCAAGTCATGGTTGTTTCATAGATACATCACCCAAAAGCATGATCATCAACGATTGGTGTGGGTACTTGTTACTGGGTCCCTTGTTGCTGGGTCCCTCACCCTGGCTTTCCAGCCATGCACTGCCAGCAGTAGTTTTGCGTCTGCTCGACGCGCTGGGCGCCGACCGCACTGGAGTCGGCGTATCAGAGATTATCAGGCCTTGCCCCTGACGAGCCTGAGCTGTTCCTGTTCCCGCCCAGTCTCGACTATTCCCGGCGGAGCGGCAGGTTAAGTGTCAGCTAGGCGGGTGGCAAAGACGTCAAAGATGTGTTGTCGCTTGAAACGTACACAGCTTCTTTGCACAAGGCTGAGGCCACTGGTGGAGCGCTACTTGGCGGAGTCGGATGTCTCTGAGCCTTGGGCCGGAGAATGATAGAGCCTGCATCTCTCTGACACCGATTCGTGCTTTTGGTCAGAGCTACACGTCACTTCCATGGTCATGTGTGGCCACGCATGGTCGGATGGCGAGCTTCAGGCGACACAGACTCCGATGATGGAAGGCGACGTGACCAAACGTGACGCTCAGACTCCTCTGGCGTGCAAAAGCAAAGTAGCAGTGAAACATATGCATAGGTACATACACATATATGTACATGTCAAGGTAACACGCACAATTTGATTGTGCTCGACATAAGATGGTGATCCATGCTGCCCTTGTCAGAGGACAACGACATAGGTAGTTTGGGGGGGGCCATGCCCTGCGAAATTCAACCAGACGAATCATCCTTGGTCAATGTTTTATGAGGGCGGGGTTTCGGCGACATTCATGATGGGTTACCCAGATTAACATGAAACGCTTACCCAGACCTTACATCTGCACCCCTTTGCACTTGTAAGGTACCCTAAACCCGAAAAAACAAAAGCGGCCCTAAACCCTAAAAGCACAGCCAACCTCTTAGTCTAGCATCCAGAAATGCTACCCTGCAGTGCAGCGTGTCTGCTTGGCGGTTGGCAACAAAAGCCCTCAAAGGGCTGCTCTCGGGAGGGTACACACCGCCGGTCTCGAGTCGAAATCCTGAGGATGCCTTCATCCTACTGGATGCGGATTTTGTTCCTCGGCAGCAGTGCATTGTTGGGGGTTCTGGATCTAGGGCTTTAAGGCTGTACGTTGTTGAGCTTGGTAAGTGCGCCCTTGCCGCAGGGTCGCCTTCGACAACTTAGTGGTCCAACGGCGTTCACTGGGGTTTAACACTCTTCGAACAAGTAGGGCCGCCTTTCCCTCGAACAAGTAGGGCCGCCTTTCCCGGCCGGGTGTAGGATCGAATCCAAGGACAGCATCCACCGAACCAACCAGATGGCCACAGGAGTAGCCCCAAGATTTATTTTAAACTAATTTCATGTCACGCAACCTACCACAAAGCTGCAGGCCCTTCGTTCTGCATCGGTTTGCATGGTCAGTTCCGGTTCTGGGCCATGGCGAGGCACCAATAAACATGTTTGGGTTGAAAGGTCCTTATGCCCAAAACCTAAACCCGAAACACTAAACCCTAAACCCTAAACCCTAACCCTAAACCCTAAACCCTAAACCCGCAGGAATCATCCTGGTGCGGAAGACGCCGTTGGCAATTCGCTTCATGGAGCGCTGGCTGCGCGCCTGCGAGGACGAGCGCATCATCGCGGAAACGCCATCGGCCCACGGAAGCAAAGGTTACATTTGCTTTTTTTGTTTTTTTTTAGGTTTAGGGTTTAGGGTTTAGGGTATAGGGTTTAGGGTTTAGGGTTTAGGGTATAGGGTATAGGGTTTAGGGTTTAGGGTATAGGGTTTAGGGTATAGGGTTTAGGGTATAGGGTAGAGAATGCCTATTTTATGTTATGTGATATGGTATTATATTGGCACATGAGATTGTAGTCTTGTGTTGTTTTATTATTGTCTGATTGTATTATAGAATAACTCGTACTATTGTATTATTGAACTCTTACATCATTACATCATTATATTCATGCATGCATAACAAACAACTCATTTTATATTTTGGCGTTGAGGTGTTTGGCTTGCCGCTGCTTCTTGAGTGCTATGGCTGCTAGGCCGGGTGCAAGCAGAACTCACACGATTGCTTGCACTCAGGCACTTGGATACCCCGACTATCCGAACTTCAGACATCACAATGACGACCAATCTGCTTTTTCATTGCTGTTCAAGATCCTTGGTGAGCGGTCGGTGCTGGCAGATTTCCCCAGATTTCACAACCGACACCTGACAACCCATTGAGGAAATACGGCTTCCACCCATTTTTGCAAGCAGAGCGTGATCTCTATGTGGTCGCTGCTCGCAACACCGCAAAGTTTGTAGCAGCCTCGCAACTTGGCTTATCAGGGCAAGGATAGGAGGGCTTGCGCAGTGTTTGGTCTTTCTTGTCTGCGTGCAAGCATGCGAGCCTGAACCTTGACAGTCAAATAGGCTTGTCCTGGATCCTGAGTGCTTCGAATCATCGCCTCTCTGTGATAGCCTCTCTGTGCAAACAAGAGCGCCCAGCGTTTCTGCATCCTCATGAACTGTGCAGAAGCTGCTCTACTAAAGCCTATAAGGACTTGAAGTAATGCCGTGAGAATCTAACTGCCAATGCTTGCGAGCCAAGCGGTTCTCCTACTCGTGCGGTCCATTGAATCCCTGGTAACCCGGAAACTGCCGAAGCTTCGAAAGCTACCTTGACTCGAAGAGATCTACTTTTGACTGCTTGAGGTTCATCTCTACAACCCAGAGCCCAAAGAATTCCCCCCCCCTCTTAAATAGCAAAAAAACCTTCAATCTCTTCATAAGGACTCCTTCATCTAGGCCGAAGGATATAATTCCCCTGAGGGCCCTACCTACATATAACCTAAGTGCCCTAATATGGTTATAAGTGGAGTTATATAATTGGTTCATAAGTACAATTTAACCTGAGTGCCCTAATATGGTTATAAGTACAGCTATATAATTGGTTAATAAGTACCCATGAACCTCCAAGTAGACCCTGGCTTCAAAGCTCAGCTCAGAGCCGAGGGATGCCTTCGCATTGGGGAAGACCTGCTCTCAGGCTCGGAAAGACAGGTTTAGGGTTTTGGGTTTTAGGGTTTAGGGTTAAGGGTTTGGTCCTCGCTTGAAGCTAGGCCTATACGTAGCCCGACTTTTTACCACTCAAGAAGGGTAACTTGCGCCCTGTGCAGGATGAGTATATCTCTGCTGCGAATGCTGCCGCCGAAAGCACATCACAGTAGCTGTTGCGCTTGGGCTGTCACAACGAGCTTCCTCATTGCACGTTGCCATTCTTGTTCGACGGCTGCGCCGCGCCTGAGCACGAGAACATCATGCACCAAAAGATGCTCCAAGGATGCTTTGTGCAACATCGTCGGTTTGCCAGGCTCAAGGGTAGCCGCGCAACCCACTAGAGAACCTGCTGCTCGAGGCTTCACTGCCATTGCACCCGCCATGGCCAAGTCGCGGCGTGCGCAGAGACTTGCTGTGGCGATATTTGCGGTTGCTTTAGCAGCACAGCACCTCAGCTGAAGCTGAAGTAAGCACTCGTGAACGGCTAGCTGTTTACGACTGTGTATGCTGGACCAACCTCTCTAAAACATCGAAGGTGTTTTAGCCCTCTCGAAATGCTACCGCCACCCTCAGGGGAAGAGAGCTAAAGCAACACATACATGCAGAGAGAGTTTTCCCCGGCAGGGGCTAAATGTACATGTTTTCCCTGAAAGGGCTAAACAGTCATTCTTGAATTTGCTGCTGTGACACACATGAGCTACATGTGCATGCAGTCAGATGTGCCACTTGTGCCAGGTGCAGTTGTGATGTTACATGAGCTGAGCTACATGTTCACTGACATTCCTTTTTCGTGCAAGGGGGCGCTAATCAGCGACAATGCCCGTGGCCATTTTGGCTACAAGGCCCCCTAAGAAAAGGGGGGGGCAAATTCACAGTGCCCACCCTACCCACCCTAGGGGGAACCCGGGATCCGAAGGGTCCCGGCCTCCGAGCTACAAGCGGGATCTGTCCACCTTCCAGACAAATGTCCGTGCGCTAGTGTTATGTTGACAGAACCATTTTGTATGAGCGCGATCTGAGCTAGCTACATATGCGCTAGGCTCGTTCCGCTTCGCCACTGAAACTCCTCCCTTTTTGGGGCTAAGCCCAAACAGACCACCCGGTCGTGGTGCTAGGGGAGGTGGAGGGTTCTAGAGAGTGGGGCTAGTGTACGGTTTGTTCATGCTGGCACAACGTTGCACTCGTGTTGTGTCCATGTGATGCTAAATCATTTCATTTCTCTGGCAAGCGAGCATCGTCTACACATTTTGGCGCTCTGAAACACCCTGAGCCTTCAACAACTCCGCAACAGCGATCGGACGTGTGATCATTACAGTTTTTGTTGTCCATGTTCTGTAGCAGCCGCAACCTTTCATCAGCAACTCTGTCGCAGATGTCAGGTCTGTTGGCTTCGCGGGCTTCGGGACGCGAGCACGCCCCTCGCGCATCTCCCTTCACGCGGTTTGTGCGCAAGTGAAAGAGCCACCAGCCGAAGGCCTGGTCCCTATGCTGGATCCCGGTTCAACCATGCGCTGTTGGTGTTGAGTGGTTGCGCTGGCCACATTGCAGGTCAGCCATAAACAAAGATTGAGTGTGATGACACGAGCTCACCCAGAGAGCCATGCGGCCATGCGCAACATCGTACTGACAAGCATGTTCTGATTTAGTAGGCTGATCTCGGGACATGACATGTACGTAATCCCCCTGCCCCTGCAGGCACAATGTTCATGAAGACAATGCTCGTAATATTCAGACGAATAGCGACATTATTTTGCGTCCACTTGGCATTGCAAACGTTTGCGGCAGGCGACCGAGTCGTCGTCGAAGGCAGCGATGGCAAGATTGCATCTCAGCCCGCACTGGGAATGCACGCACAATAGTCGGTCAATGGACTGCGGGCTTGGGGTTAATGCACAGTAATGCACAGTAATCACTAAATGGAAAGGGCTCACTCATACGTCCTTGAAGTGTTGAGCCGCCGTTTTGTTTTTTAATCAAGGGTTAGGTAAGTATGGCTGCAGTTCTTCAGACTCTGCATTGCTGAGGTCGTTGCAAAGATCGATGGCAAGTACTATGCTGTGACTCGCTTGCTTAGTGGACCCTGTGGTGCTGGTGCAGGCGTGTGGGTTCCCACATAGGCTGAACCATTCGGATCCACTTGTGAACCATTCGGATCCACTTGGTAAGGTGGATGCGAAGTGCCCCCACCTGGGACTGCCCATGAAGAAGGGCCAGATCGAGAATGGGCAGCTGGGCAGAGTCTGGAGCTCCCCTCCAAGGTGCAGGTTCCAGGGTTCTAGCGAGCCTATGACTGTGGCCTTGCCAGGCTTTGAGCCAATTCTGGGCCGTGCTCGCGTGCTGCTTGCACACCTTGAGCCCAGGCCAGATGGCCCAACACTGACTTGCAACTTCCACAACTCGCAGCCTGGAGCTCAAGTGCATTGCTTCCACCCCCTTGAGGTCGAAGGTGGTTGGTCCAGCCCCCTTGCCCAAACCCACTAACCCAAACTCATCGAGCGCATCTCACGAGGAAGGAGTTTCTTCTCACTTCTCGTCAGAGCGAGACGTAGCTAGCTCTTGGCGCGGCTGCCAGGTTCAACATGAAGAACGGCATGTGTACCAGGCCGCCCCGGCATGAAAGCCCTTAGTATGTTATGTCAAGAAGGGTGGCGATCCCAAATCGCATGATGGAATGCAATCTCACTAAATCGGGTGTCTTCCGCCGGATGCTAGACAGTCATGCCTTGCACTTACAAACAAGGTGGGTCACTGGCGCTCTGGGCTTCGAGAATGATTTCATCGCCGGGGTGATGCTGGAAACTCAGTCACCGATGGGTTTTTTCGATTTCTGGGACGCTGCCGGTTGCCACTTGATGTGAAGGGCGTCCCTGGGGGGGAGAACGTCAGAATACCAATGAGCTGCAGCATCTCAGCACTCAAAACGAATCCGTCCAAGAGAAGCGCTTGAACTCGCTGTGGGGAGCTAGTGTGCAGAGGTGCACGCTAGGACCCGCATCAAGTGTCGTGTAGCAGGGGGTTGGACCCTGTCGGCTTGCAGAGGTCGAATGTTGGCAGCGGCAAGAAGAATGTGCAGGCGTATGAGGCCTGGCAAGCGTCCCAAACGCACCATCTATTCTCCGTTGCCTCAGTCCATGCCTTCTTGCAGGGTAGACAAAGTGCCTGATTGTCACCGGCTCTTCTCAGCTTTTTTGTTCAGGAGTGTTTCGCACACCTAATCACTAAGAGGGCCTGACCTCTTGAGCATGCTGTTGCTGTAATTGATACAAATGTTGCCCTGGCCTGCGAGGTGGTTGAGGCAGATGCTGGGGCCTCAGCAGCTGGGCCACATGTACGCAGCATGAGCTGGCTTTAGCTGGCTTTGATATGTATTGAATTGCTGTCCGTGGGCCTTCTCTGTTGTCATGTTGACTCCGCAAATGTTCATGGCTTGGACTTTGGATTGCCGCGAGAAGCCGCAAAGCTCCAAAGGAAAGCCATTTATGGCGCAAGCTCTAGCAGAGCCTTCCCGGTAACCGAACTCTCTTTGACTTCCTTGTTTCCAGGCAATTCAGCAATGACGAGGTCTTTGCTGCACTTGTTTGCCCTTGGCTTGGCATGGTTTTCACTTGTATGGAGAGCTGCTGGTGAGGTGCAGAGCAGCCAGGGGGCCAGGTGCAGCACGCAGCCCTCCACTAGCCCCATGGACGATGCAGCCTTACTGCAAGCCCGCGTCCGACGTCAATCCACCAAGAAAGCGCGGAAGCATCCCTTCCACCTGAATCGTCATGACCATCACCATGCGAAGGTCGTTGACACTGGAGACTACCGCGACGACGCCATGGAGTTCTTCCAGAAAGTGCAGAACCTTTCTCTTGAAGAGCGCTGCCCGAACGTGAGGAAGATGACATTGAGCCAGGTCCACCGAGAGTGGAGCAGGTTGTTGGGCGAGATGGAAGACCAAACCCGCAACTCGAGCAGACAAGAGAAGCTCGATGCCAGCCATGACCTGCACTTTGAATTCACCTCCATGCTGGCGGAAAATTCGCCTGTGCTGGTGATGGGGCACGTTCCGAAGCAGTTGGGCTGGCAAGCAGCGACGCATTGGGGAAAGGACGAGCTCTCCAAGAACATGGGCGGCTTGCAGTGGCAGAAGTTCACGTTCAACTATCCAGAATGGCTGATCGGAATGAACCAGTGGGAGTCCTTGGACGACTATGTCAAGCACAATGAAAGCTCCCAGAACATCTTCCTGTTTGCAAGCGAGGGGGGCTGCAAGGAAGAGGCCAAGCTGAAGCATTCCGTGGATGCAATCCGCAAGCAGTTTGCCCCAAGCCCCGACTTTGCTTTTGGGCCGGAGGAGTGCATGTCCATTGTCGCAATAGATGCTTTGGGAAGCTCCCATGGCTTTCACAGCCACGATCCCGTCTGGAATGTCCAAGTTGAAGGCTACAAGATGTGGTGGCTGCTTCCGTCTGACTATGACTCTAGTGACACTTGGCCGGAAGGTGGGCAGAAGTGGGGAGCGGCCCCCTTGCTGCCGAGTGGCGAAGCTTTCCGGTATCCCAACGCCTGTGCGATGCTGAGCCAAGCAAAGCCCCCACCAGGAACACTGACTTGTGTGACCGGACCTGGTGAGATGCTGCTTCTACCCGACGAGTGGATCCATGCCACGTGCGGGCTCACAGACTACACCGCGGCCGCTGGTGGTTGGCTGGCATACCACTCAGATGACTGAGAGGGTGCAGGAACTGGGTGGTCAAACCGGCCTGGCCGCTGCTGGTGGTTGGCTGGCACACCACACAGATGACGACTGAGAGGGTGCAGGAACTGGATGGTTAAGCCACCCTGGTAACCTCCAACAGTCTGTGCGGAGTGGCACAGTTGGCGTCGGCAGGCGGATGGCAGAAAAAGGATAGAGCGCGAAGCATGCCCTTTGCGAAAGCACATGTAAACGCGTTCTGCTAGAGTTGGTGCGCCGAAAGGTGCGCAACATTGCGTGGCACAATGCATGGCTTAAAACTTGACATGGTCAGTCGTGCGTGCGGTCTCGGGCTATTCTTCCCAAAGTGGGTTCACATCGGGGGTACTGTGCCACGAGAGAATTTTTGCAAAGACACCGTTTCCCACACTTTTGGGGACTGTCAAAGCAAGGATGGCTCCCTGTCTGTGGTCCTTCCCAGTTCGTGACGTGCTATGACGATCTAGCTTGGCTGCAGATGTACATACCGTAGGACGTAGGACAAAATGCCAGTGCCTTATATTGTTGGCAGTTGTCCGAGTGGTTTCGCTGACAGCTGCTCCCATTAACACCGGGAAAATGCGCGCTGCAGCTTTCACACGACAGCTCAAGTTGCTCGCATGAGAGCAGTGTGGCCTGCTTGTAAGGAGCACTGTTTGTCTCTTTTTCTGCCGGGAAAGAGGGAACGCTTTGGCGAACTCCCCCCCCCCCCCCCCCCCCGTTCAGGAAACAAGCATCTAAACACACATCAACTGAGACCTTATCCTGAGCCGTTGTGCCGTGTATTCCGAGATCTACTACATGTCAAAGAGTCTGCGACAATCGCTCAGCCCTCCCTTCCCTTCCCAATCTTCTTAGTGCTGCAGCCATCTGGCTACAGGGACTTTTCTTGACGGCCAGTTGCAGCACGCAAGTCTTGGAGGCATGAATTCTTCCCTTCAGAAAGCATGAATTGTAGAACCTGGAAGTCGATCTTGGAGAGGTGGGGCGAACCATGACACGATAAAGGCACTTCAATCCTGCACACAGGCTTGGCGCCACCATCCACTGCTCAGCTGAACTTTGCTGACACACTTAGGGTTTAGGGTTCAGGGTTTAGGGTTTAGGGTTCAGGGTTCAGGGTTTAGGGTTTAGGGTTTAGGGTTTAGGGCTTCCTCAGTCCGTGCTTAAAAAGGGTTTAGGGCACCTCAGAGAGTCCGGGTTCAAGCGTCTATAGGAACACTAACCGGAGCTTCTGCCTTGCTTCAGCCATGGCTGCTGCGCTGCTGCCTCCAGAGGTGGAGCGTGCCACTGGGCAGAGTTTCTAGCGGCTGCGAATTCGCTTTGGGTGACATCTCACCGAAAGTGCGCCGTGCTGCTCTCACCAAGGCATTTCAGCAGAACCCCGGGCTGCGAGAGTCTTTGGATGAGGCGGGCACGCCGACTTGAGTCTGCCTGGAAGCGTCATGGTGGATCTTGCTTGTCAGTCGTGCAAACTAAGAAGAAGAAGAAGAAGAAGAAGAAGAAGAAGAAGAGAGAGCGAGAGTGAGTGAGAGCGAGTGACAGCGAGTCAGAGCGAGAGAGAGCGAGAGAGGGGCAGAAGGGCATGAGCCTTGCACGAGTGGAGGGCTTGGTCCCTGAGCCTCATTAGCCCCTTGAAAGAAGGAGAAACGGCTCCCACAAACCCGCAACACAATCAACACAAGGGTACGCAGTCGCATGGGGGAAAGGGGCTCCGGCCCTGGCTATGAGAAGGAAGGAAGAAAAGAGCTCTCACTCTGCATCCCAAAAGGAGTTGTAACAACAGTAGAACTATACTAGACGCTTGGCGGGGCCATGGCCTCTTGTGGTTCAAGTTTGTTTCGGGCTTACGCCTTGCCCTTGACTCCGTAGCTGGCTGCAATATATATATATATATATATATATATATCTGTCCATGTTGCTTCAGCGTAAAGCTAGCTTGCCAATGAAACACAGGGGAGAATGCAACTCATCCGGGATGATCGGAGCCTGCTTTGCACATGGCGTCCCCGCTCGATCTCTTCTGCTTGGGTGCTTTTGGGCACTGGCCAATGCCAGCAGTGACATACCCATCAAAGCGCCTCTTGGCAGCTGCTTTTGGCATACGTCTTGTTTTGTTTTAGTCGTTGTGTTCCCCTTGGCGGTTTGCTAGTGTGCATTCTTTTGCCCTACCGATTGTTGTCATCATTGTCAGTGCGGAAGCTGTTGGTGCTGTTTGGCCTTGATCTTGGTGTTGATGTTGATATTTGTCTCCTTCTTCTTGTAGTTGCTATTGTTACTTTTTCTTGTTATTGTTATCCGTCTGGTTTGTGTTGGTGTTGCTGCTGTTGCAGCTGTGCTGCTGCTATTGTTGCTGTTGCTGCCACTGCTAATTGCGCATGTCTGTTTTCGGCTTCTTTGTGTTTGTCGTCTCTTTTTTCGTTGTCGTCCGCTTGATCATTGCGCGTACAACTGAAAGCTAGAAGTGACCAACACTTTGCCATGTTCTGAAGTTCGATACAATGAGCCAGGAACTGGCAGGATGTTTGGCGCACGGACGTCACCAAGTGTACGCAGGACAACCTGGCCATGTTCACGGACGCCAAGGGGAAGAAGAGAACCAGGAGACTTCACCCGAGTAAGACTCAGAAACTGAATTTTGGGATGTTCCCCCTTATACCTCAGTCCTTAATAGGGATTCTAGTACCCCCTAGATAGTATAATCCCTATTTAAGGACTATTAAATGACCATTAGTATCAGGGGCAACATCCCAAACTGAATCGGTCCTGCAGACCTTGAAGTGCCATGACATACTTCCTTCCAATCTTTCATGTCCACTCCAACGCCAGGCTTGAGGATCCTGCAATGCCCGTAACTTGTTGCTAATTTTAACGCTGTGCGACCGGCCTCGGCCTGAGCTTCTGTAAGAAGGCAACGGGGGAGGTGGGAAAAGGCTCCGAGGCCAATGGAGGCCGTGATTTTTGGGAAAAGGGGTGGGGGGGGGGGGGGGGGGGGGGGGGGGGGGGGGGGGGGGGGGGGGGGGGGGCTGGGGGTGGGGGGGTGGGGGGGCTGGGCCTACGGCCCAAGGCCTCGCCCGTTTGTTTGATGTGTTTGGCCTTTTCTGCTGTTTGTTTGATGGTGGATGTTTGCTCGAAAAAATTCTCAGTAGGACCGCCAGAAAATGGCGCATCGCATGCCACACATTCTCCATCCCTGATCTTTTCAAAGAGATCGCAAAACAAGTTTGGTACTGGAGGTGCAGATCTACAAAGTAAGGTTCTTGAGTACTACAAGGTGCACAGCAGCGTACGCTTCTTGAGGAGGTTGGACGAGATGACCAAGATCGTTACTGACCGCATCATGGCAAAGATGGAACGGGAAGAGAAGGAGAAGAAAGCAAAAGAAGCTGCCAGGGTGGGCCATGCTGGTGCTGCGGGCCGGAAGCTTTCCAAGAAGGAAAGGATGAAGCAGGACCTCAGCGGACACCTGGGCCAGATTTTCAATGACTTGAAGGACAGCTCCACTGCGGACGCCAAGAAGAACGAGGCCAGTACCAAGACCCCATTCTTCCGTGCTGTCAGACATAGCCGACTGTGTTGATCACACGCGCACAAAGTCGTCGACCCTTGCTCACGCCTGCAGGAAATGTACCAGGCCGTCTTCCAACAAGGAGAGCAGATGGTCAACCGCATGGCACAACAGGCCAAGCTGCCGCTGGACACGGAGGTTGCGGGTCCCTTAAACATCCTTAAACCCTTCAAAGCCTTCAAAGCTGTCAGAAGTCAGAAAACTCCCTAAACTCTAAACCCTAAACCCTAAACTGCCTGTATGGCTTGTGGGAAACGCTGGAGGTGACGCTGCGAGAATGGTGCCTGGTTTGCCTTGGAGAGTTTTTTTTTCACACCTCGTGTCCGACGCGCGCCGATAGGGGGAGTGGTGGGTCGACTTCTCTGAGATTTCATGGTCCCTGAATAGGGTCCTTTACCTCCTTTAAAGGTTTCTGAAGTATGGGCCCTTGGGTTGCAAAGGGTCTAAGCGGAGTATGGGGTCCCCCTTCACGGACCCACACAAGGCTCGCCGCAGTCTGGCGTTCACGCTAGCAATGGTAGATGCTGTTCTTGGAAGCTCTCTGGCAAGACACCTGAGTACATAGCCATCGCCACCCCTGCCGGTGGACCACTGAGGTGCGACATGGCTTGGCGTGCTGGCCGATTCTCTCCCTTAGATCCGGACTTCATGCTTGTTCCTAAGAGCTTAGGGCAGTGGTAGTGTGAGGTAGAGATAGTTGCTCCTGCATCGTCCCCGTAGCTTTTTGCCCCCAGCTAAGCAACATGTCGACAGCTTGCTTTTCTGAGCTGATCGCAAGACGTCTTTACCTCAAGCCGCAGGACAAGCCAAAGAAGGAGGAGGACATTGTGGATGCAGACGCCCCTCAGACGAAGTCAAGAAGATTTCTGCTTCTAGATGCATGGCAAGCTTGTCAATCTCTTAGTTAATGTAAAGACGGCGTGGATGGCTTTCCAAGAGATTTCATGAGGACAATGGGCACACCGAGCTCTAAGATGTTCAACAAGCTCAACACATTGGACGTGGCCCCGACCCTCTTCCGAGCCTGTGATTTCGGGCGACTTCTGTAACACCACTCAGATAAGCAAAGTGATTGCGCATCATTGACAACACTGCCGCGAAGCTTCCATCAGCTGGACATTTGCCACGTGTCTGCGCATTGCCAGAGCACGGACTTGCGGAGGCCTGTAACCAGGCGATCAGCCCAAATCAGTGGGGGAATTTTTACACAGACCGACATGATCAGATGATCCCAAAGACAGTAGTCTCTCTAGCAGCGGAGAAAAGAATGCTTGCAATTGAGCTCCTTACCGTTCAAATCGCAAGTTTCCGTAGTAGGTGGGCGTCAGCAAGCACTAACAGTCACTAACAGCTCTTCAACAATACTACAACCCATGAACCCTAACCCCCCGAAAATTCCCAACCAATGAAAGCCTACACCGGAAACGTTCCCGAAGAGCAGAGACACGCGGCTTCACAAGTGCAGGTTGTGCCCAGTGATCCCCGTATCGGTACAGCTTAGAGTCCAACTTTGAACCCCACCCTAAACCCTAGACCCTCCATGCAGTGTGGTTGCGATGCTGCTAGGCAGGTGTCAAAAAACCTTAAACCCACCCCGCCCCAAAGTGGGTCTACGCCTGTGCAGGGAGCTCTCCAAGCTTTGGCCCGTGCGAATCCGGAGCGCGCTGCCCAGGCGCGGGAGTTTGTCTTTGCTGCTCCATGCCCTCCATGTCCTTTGGTTGAAGGGGGCGTGTCGTGGTCCCCTGAAGTCGCGCACACGTGCAGAGGTCATTGATGAGCTTGCGGCCAAAACAGATGCCAGCCTCCCAGTATAGGTAGCCAGCCGAAGACGGGAGCCATTTGGCCTTTCTGGGCATACACGAGCCCAATACTTGCGCACTTGTACTTGCCCAGTGAATTTCAAACGCTGTCAGATGGGAGGTTCGGAACCCTTCTGCGTTCGTGGCATCAACGATTTCAAAGGTGCAGCTACTCCTACCGAAACCTGCATAGAGTGGAGAGCCGAAGTGTTTGCTTGCCAGTTCCCTATGCCACGGGCGAATTCATTGAAGCAGAACACCAACGTGATTTCTGGTCCAGCGAGGCCGGCTAGAGCTGGATGTGTGGCAGACGGGTCCGGGTGGGAATGACTGAGCCTGGGAGTGCTTGGCTGCAACCACTGGCCCAGCTTTGAGGACACTTTACGAGGTGCTTGACAAACACCCTGGTTTGGAGCAGGCTGGCCGCGTCTGCCGGAAAAAAACCGTCCTGACTGATGAGCAGCACCATGACACACCCCTTAACTTGAGCAGCAGGCACTGGATGCAACCGCCTTGCGCCGCTTGGAGGAGGTTCCGCTTGTGGCACATGTTCTATCATGTGCTGCTGTGAGGTGAGGGGCCCACCCATCCGCATGCACTCTTGAAGCAGCACCAGCTTCCGCATCACCACAAGCTCCCGTAGCGGCGCACATGCAGCACGGAGAAAGAAGCCAGCAGCAGCTGTTTCAAAGACCTTCGAGTCTGCCAAGAAGCTAAGCTCTGAAAGTTGCAAAACAGCAATCTCGCTTGGTCCGCTAAGATACAGTCGTCCGAAGATGCTTTACAGTGGCATCAGACCTACCTCAAAAAGCTACATCCCCCCTTTGCAGGTAGACCTTGCTCGGGCATCGGACCTCCTCAACGAGCTGGTGCACCGCCAGGACGCAGCAGCCCTAAACCCTAAGCCCTAAACCCGAAACAGGCCTACGAAAACCTTTCGGCTTCTCTGGGTGTGTCAGACATTTTTCTCCGTCAGGCCATGCCGGGAAAACTACACCGGATGCTAGCTGCCGGAGACAGGAAGACTCTATACATTAACATACATTAGTTACAAAATGGAGGTGTAACAACGAAGCTCATTGCGTGGGTTTTCCGTCAAGTAAATCTGAGACTGCGAGCCTGGCGTGAGATCTTGAGTACAAGGCACCGCAGCGGAAGAGCCTGGCATGAGATCTGCATCAACATAGCAAGTAGCATTACACATGAATGATGCGAAAGTAGCAATAGCGAACACAGAGAAGTGAAGGAAGCAGAGAAGTGAAGGAAAAGGATGGTACATCAAAATAATTCCCGTGTACATGTGATTTAGCCCGGAGTTGTCTTCGCCCCTCCAGCAGCAGCCACCCCGCCGAGGTGCGAAACCCGTCAGCGTTCATCGTGCACGCGCTCGGCAGGTGGGGCTCAAGCTGGCTGGGCTACTTGTCCAGCTTTTCCTCGTTGATTGGCCGCACCCAGTTAAACCCTGAAAGCTACAGCATCTTTGGCTCTGCATCACAGCTTGCCGAGGAGGGGAGGGCGCCGTCGGTCGTGTGTTTGCGTAGCCCAAAGCAATAAGCAGTGCAGTTGCAAAGCCCTTAACTCCTTTCTTTGGTGGTGTCTGTAAACATTGCCGTGGCTCATGCCCCAAGACGACCATCATTGCTTGGGAGCAGCTCCTTGAGCTCCATGTTCAAGACTGTCACGCTGAGAGCAGAGCGGCCAGGTCAATTCCGGCACATGTTCATGATGGAGGGCTGATCTCGGCAGCTGATGAGAAGGATGCTGAGGCCCGGCAGGTCCTCATGTTACGTGTGGTGGCTGCGGCAGCACGCCTGCACTCGGTACCGTGCAGGTGGACCGGATCCTCCTGAGATTTCCACGCATTCGTGAGAGCTTGGACAGCAAGGCAAATAGGGCTGCTGTTGGCTGTTCATGTTGCAAACGCCTTCGAGATAGACTGCTAGCACTGCGGAGACATGGAACTTCTGGAGAACCATGTGTCTGAGCTCCATGGGTGGGGATGGCCACGAAGAACACACCACCATTTCGCACCATCTAGTTGTCATGGACTCTGCTAGATACGTAAAGTAGTAAAGGGTGCCTGCTCAGTGCAGTCACGGGTTTATGGTGCCATCCAGGCCCTCATGAAGTTGGCTGATGCTGTCGCGATCTTAGCTCCCGACATTCTGTCTGGATGGCTCCTTATCCCTCACAGCGACGTGCTACTTGGCACGCTTGCAGGATCCGATGCGAGTGGAGCAAATTCTGCAGGACTTTGTTGGCCCCAGGCCTCACGACCGTTTGACACTGGCCGTCTCACTTGGCAGGACATGGATGCCAAAGACGACGTGCGTAACCCTTCGGCCTTCATTGTGAAGGCCCATGCGCAACACAGCTGTTGCAAGCCGCGCTCCCATGTGACGAGAGCCACAGTGCGGAGGCGTTGTCTGCTTTCCCGGTCCCGTGCCAGCCTCAAGCAGCAACAGTTAGAGTCCAATTCCTGCATACCCACTTTCGAAACTATATCCCTCTTAGGAATTACTTTTTAGTTTTGTTTATTAAGAATATTATTTTATTAAGGTTCTAAGGGGAGTATAGGAAAGTGTGGGTGCTGTGTTGACATTGTTAAGCTGAAGGAAGACGCAGCGCATAATCCATGATCTCAAAAGTCAGACATGCTATCCTGCTGTACACCGCAGGCCTTGAGATCTTTCATGGAAGCCCACCCCCTGTACTAATTCCGGGGTTGATCTCGAATTAGAGGCATGTAAGACAAACACTAGAGATCCGGAAGAAGTACAGTACCAAAATGCTGCTCAATCAATCCTGTAAGCTCACCAGGGGCAGGCGCCTGGAATATCGAATATCCCGGAATTCAGGCGGCACGACGCCAACCACCTCCATCGACAGGCGGACACTTGCAGGCTTGGGCTCTTCGTCGTTTTGCAAGGCCCAGGCGGCGTGCAGAGGTTACTTGGGCCCAACACCGTGTGTAGACCAGATCATCTCGGACTCGCGGACAGTGGCCCTTCGTGTTCAGACATGGTCGTTCATGAGTTTTTCTTTCGTTCTCCTTGAGAATTTTGTCCTTGATGGGTTTTTATCAAACAGGCTAGAGGCGTTGACAACCGTCATCGCCCCCATGGCATCTTAGGTTCTGACCTACTGGTAGCGTCCTGGCAGCTGAGGGCCCACTGTGTACTACTCATTCGATCCGTAAATCCCGAAAGTTGGAAAGTTTGACCCACTTGCGGTCCCGAAGGAGACTGAAATCCACGCAACGTAGACATGAATCCTCCCAGATGCTGCCAGCCTGGTGTTGAGGACACTCTATGAGGTGCTTGACAGACATCCTGGTCTGGAGCAGGCCTGCACAAAAGCATCTTGCTGGTGACCGTTACCTTGACACAGCCCCTAAACTTGAGCAGCAGGCGCTGGATGCAACTGCCTTGCGCCGCCTGGAGGAGGTTCCACCTCTGGCACATGTTCCGTGCGTGCACTCTTGAAGCTGCACCAGCTGCTGCATCACCAGAATGAAGTCCTCTTTATGCCGATTTTCTGAGGTAACCATCCCAAGTGTAGTAGCGTGGCTCATCTAGTGCACCACCCCATGATTGATGCCTTCGTGCCTATTGTGGTGGGATATGATACGTCGAGCCTGGGGGCCAATGAGCAGTGCAGTGTTAGGCTCTGAACTTGATCTGAAGTGGGGCTACTTGCTTGGCACAGGTCTTCTCTCTCTGCAGTATAGCCCAGTGGAGCATTGATGGATGGGTGGCAAGAACAAGCTCCTGTAGCATGCAGCACAAAGAAGGCAACAACAGCTGCTTCAAGACATGACGACACCTCTGGTCTCAAAGTCAGAACTAAACTCTGCAGGGTTGGTTGTGCAGTATTGTATTG